GCTGCATCTGTCCCCAGCCCGGTGCTCTGGGTCTCACTGACCATCTCTTCATCTCTCTGTTGTTTACCTCAGGAATCTCCTAGGAGAGGAAGTTTGCAGATCAAAGCTGTCTTTTAACAAAACAAAACAAAAAAAAACCCAGAAAACAAAAGCAACCCTATCTTTGTCTCTGTGCTTTTTCCCAGCCCTCAGCTTCTGGGGGAGGTCAAGGTGGAAAAAGCGGCCTCCCGGCTCACAGTCAGGATGCAGCGGGTCCGACAGTCTGCCTGCTGTTCCTTCTGCATCCGTCAGCTGCTGTTTTATTTTGCTCTAAAAAGATTCCTTGGAGGTGGGGGTGGGGGTGCATACCCTAATCAGCACCTGCCTTCTGAGAAGCTGAGGCAGGAAGACCGTAAGTTCCAGGCCAGCCTGGGCAACTGTAGCTTAGCACGCCCGTGTGTCAAGGTTTCTACAAAAGGGCTGGGGACCAAGCTCAGTGTGGGGCTGCGGATCAAATCATCTCGGTGCCCTCGATGGACCCCAAGCTTCTCAAGCCGGGCCCAGCTTCGCCCCAGCCGCACCCCTCGCTCCCTGTATACGTTATCGTAAAGAAAGTATTTCAATGACATCACAAGGAGATGCTGCTGGCGTCTACAGAGGAAAGGGCCCTGTCGCCGGCTCTGGCTGAGTCCAGGGGTGTCGCTTTCTCTTGGAGAAGATGAGTGTTTGGAGACAGACCCTGGTGCCGACCTATGGCCGTTGGAATCTTGAGGTGGCCTTCTGGGGACCTCCCCTGGTCTCTTGGTCTTGAGTTTGCCTTGCACTGCAGGCACTGATCTTGGGGTACATTTGATTCCCTGAAGCAGCAGCCAGCTTATGTTTAAGGCCTTCCCCAACCCCAGGATTTGGAGTCTCAGAAGGCGAGCGAATGGAACAGCTCTGCCGGGGTACTGAGGCACCGCGCTCTGGTGCAGGCGCTGGGGGAGGCTCCTTAACCACGTCATACTGTGCTGTTGGGCGCCCCGCCCCGTGAGTGCAGGCCTCTCAGAAACCTGGGTTTTGAGGTGTGTGTGTGCTTTGAGACAAGGTATTCCAGGCTGGTCTTAAACTGTACCTAAGCTGGCCTCGACCTCACAGCGATCCTCCTGCCTCAGCCTCAAGTGCTGGGGTGACAAGTGCACGCCACCACACCTGGCTGTCACTGTCCTGGCTGCTGTGTGGTATTAGTCTGGACAGTGACGGAGGTGGGGGTGGGAAGAGCTGGGCTGCCTAGAGGAGCTGAGTTCTCCCTGCAGCCAGGCACCTGTGAAGGGCTGGGACGCCCGGGAGAGAGAGGAGCCTGGTTTTTATTGCACCTGCAACACCTGTGTGGCGCCAGCTTCTCACTGAACCTGGGACGCCTGCGCAGCTGATCAAGAAGCCAGGGGAATGGGGCCCAGTCTGCCGGCTGGGCTGTCCCCTGTAGAGGGTCACCTACTCCGGACAGCTCCTGCGAGCCCGGCTCTGTCCTGGTTACCACTGAGGCAGAGGGAAGCGGGTGTGGCCTGGCATTGCCTACCTTGGTGTCCTCTGTGAGCCAGAACAGAGAAGCAGCTGCCAAGCGCGCCCAGGGACGTGGCTGGGGAGTTCTGGCAGATGAGGGGCAGATGTAGCCCAGTGTGAGCGAGCACCGGTTGCCTCCAGGCAGCAGGGGCCAGGAGGGCAGGAGGGCAGGACGTCCCTGGCGGGCCTGAGGAGCTGAAGAGCTGCTACCCCAGGGCGCACGGTCTGGTCTGGGGACATTGTGATGGTCAGGATTAGGGATGCATCTGGCATGGAATGGGGGGCTCGGAGACACTGCCCAGCACTCTGGGGTGCCCTGCCCCACCCCGAGGAGGACCCTGGGAAGGTCGGAAGTGGCCTCGTGGCCTCAGACTGCAGAGCTCGCTGGTGAGCAGGCCTGCTTCTGCCCGAGCCCTCTCTGTGGTTCCTTGCTCCTCCTGGGGCCCCAGGCCGCAGCTGGGCGTGGGAGCTGGGCCGAGAACCTTTGTTCTGCAGGTGATAAGCGGGCTGGGGTGTCTTGGCAGATGAGCCCTGAGCTCTAGGCGGAGACCCGCGGGTCTGTGTCCTGGCAGTGCCCGGCTTCTGCCTCTCTACCCCAGGGTGTAGGGTCTTCAGTTTTGTGTTTTGTTTTTCTTTCTTTTTTTTTAAAGCTAGTCACATTTAGCAGTGAGGAGGGTGGTATACCAACTTTAGTGACACTAATCTTAATAAGTTCTGATAACCCACTGCCATCGGACCAGCCTGTGTTTTGTTTTTCTGAGGCAGGGTGTTACGTAGTCCAGACTGACTCTGAACTTACTGTGTAGCAGAGAGTGAACTCACACAGAGAGTGATCCTTCTGCATCGGCCTCCCAAGTGCTGGGATTACAGGCATGTGCCACCATGCCCAGCGCCCCCAGTAGTTTTCAGTGCTGCACTGGACTAATGCCTGGGATTCTCTGTGCCCCTCCTTGTGGCTAAGATCAGTGTGGGGACCTGGGGGAGGCCTGGGGATCATCTCTGCTGGTGTCCCTGGGCTGGCCATTGAGCGGTGCTGGGAGGTGAGAGGGCACCTGGGGGTTCTGAGACCAGCCTCATCCTCACCAGGTACGTGGGAACTGGGGGATGGGATGGGGCAGCTAGCAGCTCCCAGCTCACTCTCTCGGTCAGCAGAGGCACCTGCCCCGGAAGGCTGCTGCTCTGTGGCCACCGGCTGCAGCCCTGGCGTCCGAGCATCCAGCCTGGGCAATAGCCCTGGCTCATGCCATCCCCAGCCTGGTCGTCTTAGGTGTCTTGCACAGGAGCTGTGGCCCCCTTGCCTCTGAAGTCTGGGGCCTCAGTGACCACCTGCAGTCTCCTCTGAGCTGGAGCACCTACAGCCTCCAGGGTTGGTGGAAGTCAGGGCCTTGGGAAGTTGGGATACAGAGGATAGACCGTGCTTGTGCACTTGAAGCCTCAGGGACCCTTCAATGCTGCTCAAGGGTGGTGCCACCATGTCCATCCTGATGCCCAGCGTGCCTTCCAGGCCCTGGGGCCCCGCCAGACTGTGGCCTTGAGCCCGGGCAGCTCTATAAATAACCGCTCCAGGCCCTTCGGGAGCTGCCAGTGCTATGTGCTCACAGCCCGAGTCCAAGTGGCCCAGGCTGATGGGGCTCTGCCATTCATGCCCACTCCGTCCTCCCCCAGCACCTCCCAGGCTGCCCAGCTGGTCCCTCCTACCTGTGCCTGGCCACCCCAGGTCGCACCACAGGGTCTATAGGGCAGTGTACAGGGCACAGTGGTTCTGGGCTCCCCCAGCCAGCTCCGTGTCACTGCTGGGTTCCCTACTGGGAAGAACCTTTATTGGCCGGGCGCAGAGGTGCATGCCTGCAGTTCTGTCACTGGAAGTTCAAGGCCAGCCTGGAATCCATAGCAAGGCCTGTCTCTGATGGCCACCTCACACCCCCCGTAAAGAGCCTTGATTAAACTTGTGCCCATGATGCCGTATGGTTCAGTGGCATTCAGCACTCCTATAGTCTGGGGTTGCTGCCATGACCTGTTTCCAGAACATTCTGTCACTACAGAGTAAGACCCACGAGTCCATTTCCAGTCTCAGTATTTGCCTGTCCTGGGCAAATACAGCGTCCCCAAGGTCTCTGCTGCGGCAGGTGTCACCGCCCCACCTCCTCCCTGGTAGAGTGGTGCTCAACAGGGCCACTCAGTTGTGGGATGGGCCATGCAGTGTCTGTCCATCTGTCTCGTCCATCTCCTCCTAGATGCGGGCCAGCCCCACCCTAGAGGCTGGGCAGCCGAAGGCATTGGGTCCCTGCCTGTTTTTTAGGGGTCTCGGGGTGCCTGTGCCTAACCCCCTGAGTGGGAGGGGAAGTGAGGTGTCTGGACTGGGCCTCCAGGCTGTCTGACCCCGGTGTGCTGGCCATGCCAGTGACGGGTGGGCGGGCGTGGCCACACCACTGCCATGTGTCCGCCCCCACTCAGCTGGGTGCTGAGGTTGGGGCCTTTGGGATCCTGGAGTGCTTTACGAAGTAGTTATTCTGTTGTTTTGTTTTGTTTTTTCCCCCCTTTGTCTTTTTGAGACAGCGTCTCTATGCAGTCCAGACTGGCCTTGAGCTTACTTTCGAGCCCAGGCTGGTCTCCATCCTCCTACCTCAGCCTCCGGAGTGCTGGGATTACAGGCATGTGCCACCACACCCAGCCCAAAGTAGTTATTTTTGAGTTAAAAAGTTCTAACAGCTGAACGTGATGGCGGATCCCTAGAATCCCAGCACAGGGAGGCTGGGGCAGGAGGATCACTTTGAGTTTGAAGTCAGCCTGACTGGGCTACATAACGAGAGCATATATTAAACAAACAAACAAACACCAGTTCTGACAAGATGGGATGGCAGACTATTTTGGAACTGGATATTAGAAACTACTAAAAGTCTGTTTTTGAGACAGGGTCTTACTGTGTGGCTCAGCCTGGCCTGGAGCTCACAGTGATCCCCCTTCCTTGGTGTCCTCAGTGCTGAGATTATAGATTGCACACTTTATAAACGTGAGCAGAAGGCCGGGCCTGGTGCCACACACCTGTCCTCCCCAGCTTCTTGGGAAACAGGCAGGAGAATCACACATTCAAGGCCGTCTTGGGACACTGAGCAAATCCCATGCTCAAAATAAGACGCAAATGAGGTCCAGGCTCAGAACGAAAAGGGCGAGGCTGGTGCCCAGTAGAAGGCTCCAGGTCCAGTCTGGCACCAGCTGCGTGACCTGGGTGTCTCTGGCCCTGCGTGAGCCTCAGAGGCCAGTGACAGATGGAAGGTCCTGGGGCTCCAGGTAGAGCAGTGCCCCCAGCAGGACCCGGGGCTACCCTGCCATCTCTGGGCCCCTCACCAAGGCTGCTGTAGCCCCCTGGGTCCAAGGAGGCCAGATGGTCCCTTGTTGGCTAGTCCACAGAAGATGAGGGGCCCTGGCCCTGGCCGTGGTCACTGACACCAGGTCTACTGTGGCCTGTCCTTTGGTTGCAGGGAAATCCAGCTCCTACGGCGGCTCCGGCACAGGAATGTCATCCAGCTGGTGGACGTGCTGTACAATGAGGAGAAGCAGAAGATATATCCTTCCCGGGCGGCCAGCGGGCGGGTGGAGGGGCAGGTGCGGGGCTCCCCCTGGCTGCTCTGCAGTCGGACCCCAGGACAAGCGTGGTACAGCCTCGGGCCATTTCTGAGGGTTCCTGACTGTGATTCGGGGCCCTGAAGTGGCAGTAGGAAGCCCCCACTGGGTTCCCTCTCCCACACTGGCTGGGAGGTTGAATGGGGGTCCCTGTCTGAACTCTGATCCTTGGGTTTGTTGTCTCAGGGCTTCTGGTGGCTGTGCGTGGACACTGTGTCCATTTCAAGGGATACCGTGAAAGGGTGAAGTCACTTATTCTTGGGGTGGCCAGGAACATTTGGAGCCCTGATCTTGGTCTGCCCAGCTGACAAATCCCAGACCCAGGCCCTGTAGACCCCGGCACTGGCACGGTGCTCACTTCGAGCACAGCTAGCTGGGACCTGGCCTTCCTCCCAGGGCCCACCCTCAAGCACATGTCTTCCTCTCCATGAACCTGGCCACTCTGGCCTAGGGCAGAGATCACAGAGCGGCCACCTTGGAGCCATAGCACCCGGGCCCAGCAGGATGTGGGTCCCCACTGCACCGTGACTTCCTTAGCGCCCCACGTATATGGTGATGGAGTACTGCGTGTGTGGCATGCAGGAGATGCTGGACAGTGTGCCCGAGAGGCGCTTCCCTGTGTGCCAGGCCCACGGGTGAGTGCAGCTGCAGGTGCTATGACAGCCTGAGGGCCCCAGCCCAGCCGCACAGGCGGGCCTGCCTGCCATGGGTCCTCCCATTGCCCTGGGCGCCCTCATCCGAGAGAGGCCAGTTCTGGCTTTGGTTTTGTTTTGAGGCAGGGTCTCACTCCGTAGCCCAGGCCAGCCTCAAACTCACAGCGATCCTCTTGCCTCAGCCTCCCAGCTGTTTTGGCTTTGTGCATTTTGGCTTTTTGATGGTGCTGGAGGCTTAACTGGCCCTCCTGGGTGGCAACAAAATCTAGGCCCATGGTTACAGTGCTCTGGTGCTTGGGAGGGTGAGATTTGGGGAGCCAGGTATCCTATATCACAAAGCGGAAACGCAGCAGGCTGGGCTGGGGGCTCTGGCCCAGAGCTGGAGTGAACGTAGCTGCATAGAAATTGGGGCCTTGGCTCTGAGGTCCCTAGTGTTTGCCTGGAGCCCGAGTGACTGTGCCCTGGGCCTGCCCTGTAGAGCTCTCCTCAGCCCTGGAGGGTGGGGAGGCCAGGTGCACTGAGCCAGTCCCCTGCCCCCAGGTACTTCTGCCAGCTCATCGATGGCCTAGAGTACCTGCACAGCCAGGGCATTGTGCACAAGGACATCAAGCCAGGCAACCTGCTGCTCACCACGGGTGGCACGCTCAAGATCTCGGACCTGGGCGTTGCTGAGGTAGGGGCCTGGGCCCGGGCCTGGGCCAGGAGCGGGCACTGCTCCTGCCTGCACCTCCTGAGGGCCATGTGCACTGCCGCAGGCCCTGCACCCCTTCGCCGCAGATGACACCTGCCGGACCAGCCAGGGCTCCCCTGCGTTCCAGCCACCTGAGATCGCCAATGGCCTGGATACCTTCTCTGGCTTCAAGGTGGACATCTGGTCTGCTGGGGTCACGCTGTAAGTGCTCCTCAGGACCCTCATTCCATCCTGAACTTACAGCTTGCAGAGCCTGAGACTGCAGTGTCTCCCCAGTACCTCAGCCCAGTCAGCCAACAGAGACACTGACCTTTTCTCCACTGAGCTGCAGCTCGAGTCTGCCTGGGCACGAAGGGCCCAGGCCCCGGTGCACCACGGTGGGGCCCCGCAGCTGCCTGCAGGGAGTAGCTTGGGGGGGGCATTGGCCCTGGTGGGTCCAGGACCCAGTCCTACCTCAGCCCTGTGGAGAGAGTGGGAGGTTGCCTGGCCCGGCCTGGCTGCCGCTGACCCAGCTCCCCTCCTGCCCTCTCTGTGAAGCTACAACATCACCACAGGCCTGTACCCGTTCGAGGGGGACAACATCTACAAGCTGTTCGAGAACATTGGCAAGGGGGCCTACAGCATCCCGGGCGGCTGCGGGCCCCCGCTCTCTGACCTGCTGCGAGGTGGGTGTCAGGCGCAGCAGACGGTCTGCTGTGTGTCCCTCTGGGCTGAGACTGCAGCACAGCGGGGTCACTGGGACATGGACGAGGCACTGGCCCAGCTTGCTGGTGGCCCCAGGACCTTGCCTTGTGTCAGGGCAGCTTCAGAGCCACCAGTACAGGGCCTTTCAGAACTGGTATTCCTGGTGTCCCCGGCCCTCGGGTTGTGTCCTGTGCCGTGTAGCAAATGGTGCTGGGTGTCGGTCACACAGAGTGTGGAGGACAGTGGGGTGACATGGTCCCCTGGCCTGAGGCTTTGTAGACAGCTGCTGTGGCTGCTATGGGGCTGGTACCACAACTCTGTCCAAACGCAGGGCCTGGCCTGGGCTGGTGTCCCTTGGCCAGGTGGCGTTTGAGGGTCGTGGGCAGAGTGGGGCAGAAGGCAATGGTGGGTGGTGGAGGTGGGAATCCTCGAACCACACCAGCCTGGTCCTGTGTTCCCTGCAGGGATGCTGGAGTACGAGCCAGCCAAGAGGCTCTCCATCCGACAGATCCGGCAGCACAGGTGGGTGCATGTGGGGCTCCCGCTGGCAGGCTCCCCCAACGGGGAGTTGGCAGCTGATGCCACTTGAAGATACTGGAGGGCAGAGGTTGCATGAGGACGCAGCCCCGGGTAGCCCAGGTCCTGGGGACGGGTGCACAGCCACGCTGCTCTGCAGCTTCCGCCCCCGGCATCCAGGGGTCCTATGGGGCAGAGGATCCGGCTGGCTCTGCCATCCTCACTGGGTCCTTCAGCTTCCACAGGCCTGGTGTCCAGGGGCCAGGGTGCGGCCGGTGCCCACGCACTGACATCAACGTGTATTGGTGTCATCTGGGATTTGTTCCCTTCCGGGAGTGTTTGGGCAGGGGCCAGGACCCCATGGAGAACACTGCCCTGGCCCCAGTCTGGCCCCAATGTCCGCAGTGGCTCAGAGTGGACTGGGGTGAATGGAGTCACCAGGGCTGCACCACAAGAAGCTGCTGTGGCTGGAAATGTGTCCCTACCCTACCTGCCCAGTGCAGCCTTGTGCTTCAGGGCAGCAGGAGCAGGTGGGGTTCAGAGCCCACAGTGTGGGGTGGGGGCAGCTTAGCTCACTCCAGGGCCAGCACCGTCACCAGGACACCCCTGGGAGTGGAGAAATCACTGCAGGTCTGGTGGCCAGGACCCTGGGTGCCACCTGGCCTGGGCTGCTGTGTGGGTGATCGTCCTGATGGCCATCGCGGCACCTGCGCCTCCACAGCTGGTTCCGGAAGAAGCACCCACTGGCCGAGCCACTGGTGCCCATCCCACCCAGCCCAGACACCAGAGACCGCTGGCGCAGCATGACAGTGGTGCCCTACCTGGAGGACCTGCACGGCTGCACCCAGGAGGACGAGGATGAGGATGGGGACCTGTTTAGCATCGAGGACAGTGTCGTCTACACACAGGACTTCATGGTGCCCGGTGAGCAGGCCGAGGCCAGCCCAGGACCTGTGGGATGGGCCTGGCTTGGGTTTTTTGGGGGGGCGGCCCTGTTACTGCCCTGGAAGGCAACAGTGCTGAGCCTCGGGAGCTGCTGGGCACTGGGCTGCTGCGGCTGGGAGGGCTCCCTGGGCGTCTGGCCCAGGGCTACCCGCTGCCCCCATTGGCCTCCTGCACTGCGTCCAGGGCGCACAGGGTGAGTGCCGAGAGCCAGGCGGGCGCCCCCACTTCCACGGGGCAGCCCCCAGCAGCCTCCTCCTGCCGCCGGGTGGCTGCCCTGACGCTGTCACCTTCTTCCCCAGGTGGCCAGGAAGTATCTGAGGCAGGGCTAGTGAGGAGCGAGGAGGCGTCCGCAGCAGCCAGGGCAGAGCCCCCTGAGGAGCGGAAGCCGGGGAAGGGCGAGGCCCTAGTGTAGCCGCTCCCGCTCCCTGCTCCGCCACCGCCTGCCCGCCTGCCTGGGACGCTCTGCATAAAGCTCTGTGCTCCAAGTCTGGGTGCTGCTCTGTGGGTCCCCTAGCCAGGGCCCTCACCTCCTGCAGGGAGTCCCCAGGGGAAAGGCCTGGGGCGGGAGGGCCAGGCAGGCGCCCCGGCAAAGGGCTGCGGCTATAGGGAGGGTCCCCAGAAGGTTGTGGTTAGGGAGTTCAGCACCTCCTCTGCAGCACTGTGGCCACCTGGGCCCTGAGGGCCCCCGCTGGCCCAGCTTGCAGCTGGCCTGAGACTGAGCAGAGCCCTGGGGGCCATGCTGCCTTCTGTCAGGTGTGCCCAGGGCGCCAGCTGCTTTCTGGGGGCCTGGGCACCTGGCAGGGGAAGAATATATGTGGGTGTCCCCGGAAGGAGGTCCTGGTAGGCTGCCCAGACCATCTGGGCCCTTCACACTGACTGGGCCCCTGGCCGGGTTACCAGGCTGAGACTGCCCTGGGCTGTGGTTCCCAATCGGGACCACTCGGGGCCCGATTCCATCAGGCCTGCTTTGGCTTGGGGTAAGGTGAGGCTGGCAGGGAAGGGGCAGGGCGTGGGTGGATCCCACCTTCCCAGTCCTGTGTGCAGGGCCCTGGGTTGCCCTGGGAGGTGTCCCCATGATTGTTACCGTGTCCCCAGCCGGGGGCAGCTCTTTGTGCAGAGATTAGATGTGCCCTGGGCTGGTTCAGCTCTCTCCACCTGACTCCTCCCACCTGCCCAGCAGTCCCTTCCTGCTCTGAGAGCTGGGTCCAGGCCACAGGTTGGCAGATGTTGGAGCCCCGGCTGGCATCTTATCACCAAAGGGCCTGTGCCGGCAGACTATGCACACAGGGTGGGGGCAGGCGCCTCTGGAAGCTGGGTCAGGACAGCCCTGCCTGGCACAGGGCTGCTGCTGGCCCAGGAGCCTCCAACAACAGCTCGCTGGTGATGTGCAGGGTCGGGCACTGCTGGGTACCTGTACTGGCCCTGGGAGGGGGCTGGCTGTGCCTGCAGGGGCTGCTTGGGAGGCAGGCCTCCACCTCCTGTGCCTGCCACGCACATGCCTGGCTGGGCAGGCGACCGTGGGAGTCCCTGCTGTGGTGGGGACCAGGGCCCAGTTTGTCCTACAACAGCAGGTGCTTTCAGGCTTACCTGCTCTCCTTTTGAGGGAGCATCAGGGCCCTTGCAGGTGCTGCCTGGGGCCACAGCAGGCAGCAGCCCATTTAGGTGGAGGGTGCAGCCCAGGCACCACGCACAACGGCAGTTCCTGGCTCAGGCCACGCTCGCCGTCTTCCTCCTAGGACAGGTCCCAGAGGAGGAGGCAGGGCAGAACGGACAGAGCCTCGGCCTGCCCAAGGCTGTGTGCATGAACGGCACGGAGTCTGCCCAGCTGAGCACCAAGGCCAAGGCCGGGGCCTCCCACTCAGCTCGCAAGGCCTGCTCCAGCAGCAAGATCCGCCGGCTGTCGGCCTGCAAGCAGCAGTGAGGGCGCCCCCTGCAGGTGGGTGAGGGCTGGCTCAGGACAGCCTCAGTCTAGGTGACTTCCTTCTGTCCCAGCAGAGGAGCTCAGGGTGTGCATCTGTCCCAGGCTCCAGCTTGTGGCCTTGAGCCTGGACCTGTCACTGTGGTGGCACTTGGGTGGCCTCAGCTAGATCTACTGTCCCCAATCTCTGGCCTGCCGGCCACTGCAGCCTGCCTGGCCACATAGCAGGACTCTGCTAGCAGAGTCCAGGACAGGCAGAGGGGCTCACTTTCCAGAGCACCGTGTTCATCTACTCCAGGATTCATGGCCCACGCTGGGCCTGCCGCTCCAGAAGAGGCCGTGCCAGATGCAGCCCCAAGGCTCTGAGCGTCTGAGGTTGCAGGGGTGGCCAGGAGGGGCCTGGCATGGCCACATGGTCCTGGGCTGCTCAGGCTTCCCTGCTGCCTCTGTCCGCCCCAGCACACGCCCACTGCACTGTTGGGCAGGTCCCTGCCCCCTAACATGGGGGTCCTTGGCAGGCCGTGGCCCTCCTTGTATCTTAGCCTGTGGACCAGCCCCCAGTTTTCCCAGCCATCCAATGGCTTCTTGGGCATGAAGTGACTGCCAGTAACCTTCCTGTCCACAGCCTGTCTCCAGGAGCCACAGCCCAGGGCCACAGCCCAGGTCCCCAGTCTTCCTGCTGGTTCCCAGCCCACCGCCCTCCCAGGAAGATGGCCACCATGCCTCTGTGCAGACCGCCCAGGACGTCAGGAGCACAAGGGCCACGCAGGGGGGTGGCAGGGGTCTTGGTGCAGCCCTCCCACGGGCCACCTGCCCACGGCCCCACTGGGTAGTGGACAGCTGATTCTGCAGTCGCGTGCAGAGCCCTCCTCGGGCGAGGGAGACAGAGGCCCGGCCTCTGAGATGCACTTTATGTTGAGACTACTGGCTCTCCGCCCGCCTGCTGCTGGGGACGCGCAGCGGTCCTGGGGAGCAGGCTCCTGCCGGCACCTTGCATGCAGACCGCTTGAGGGAGCCCTGCGACCACTTTTTTGTTGTTTGGTTGATTTTCCTTTTTTTTCTTTCTTTCTTTTTTTTTTTTTTTTTTAAATAAAACAGGTGGATTTGAGCTGTGGCTGTGAGGGTGTTTGGGAAGCACCGGGAGGCAGGTGGGCACGCACAGTCCCCACAGGCGGGGCCCGTCCCAGCTCCGTCTTGCCAGGGAGGGCAGTGGGGTGGCGTGGGACGCCAGAGAAGACCAGGAGCGACCAGGAATGTGCAGTAAATATTTATAATCAACCAGGAAACAGAAACGACACGAGAACGCCATCGTGGGGTGACACGGATTGGTGGGGCAGCAGCGAGGGCGGGGCCGATGGCCCCATCTTTTGGCAATAAATAAAGCTCGGGAGACTTGAAGTCAGCCGTCTGCGCTGTGTTCTGTCCATATCCCCAACACTGAGCGCCTGGCAGCTCCTCTGAACGGGGCAGGCGCGGGTGGCCGATCGCATGCAGGACGGGATGGGACGGACAGGACGGCGCGTGGGGGGGACGGCGGCGGCAGGAGAGCCGAGTCCGGGGCTGGTGGTCGTGGCGGCGGCGAGCGCGGTTATTGCTCGGAGTGGGGGCGCGGGCTGCCGTGAGCACATGCCGCGGTGAGGTAAACGGCTCGGAGGGGTTGGCAGCCGCGGCCCCCAGCCAACCTCCCGGTTCCTGGTGTGGAGGCCTCTGTGATCCTGCGGCTCCTGCCTGGTGGGGATCACGCGCGCGCCTGGCAGACAGTGGGCTCCTCCGCCACGCGCGTGCCCCTGGGGCCTCAGGCTTCCACTGGCTGCGGCGGAGGTGATGGGAGTCTAGGCACGGGCGTTGGCCGTTGTCCTGGAGCCTGAAGATGGAAATCCCTTCCTCTATTTGAGCCAGGGTCATGGAACATCGCACCTCTGGATACCATGATGTCTGACCACCAGCGCGCCCAGAAAGTGCAAGGCGCGTGCACGCCTGGAGGGCGGGAGGCAGACAAGGGCTGCGGCGTGTGCACGTGGGGCGAGGACTGCCAGCTGCTGGACTGTGCGCATGCGCGCAGAGCTGCACAGGCGCGCACCTGGGCCAGGCAACACACCCAGACTGCGTGCGACAAGCCACTGCCGTCTAGGCGCGTACACGCCAGGGCATCGCGTCCCCAGGTCTGTCCCACTGCCGTCGCTGCTGAGACCCCGCGCAGCGCCAGAGAGGCCACCCAGAAGTGGGCTCGTGGCAAAAGACTTAGACCGGGCTGTGGTCGGGGGATGTAGGGGCAGCAGCGGCAGCTACTAGCGCAGTGGCCACGGGGACAGGCTCGGCCAGGCACTGCGGAAAGAGTCTCTCCTCGAGGCCCGTCGCCAGCTTGTCCAGCAGCTCCCCAGAGGGCTCTACGCAGAGGCTCGAGCCAGGGCAGCCCCCGCCCCCAGGCTCCTCCTCGATGACAGGGATGGCCGGGTCGTCCCCCATGCCGGCTAGCGCACGGCCATCGGGTGGGCAGTCGACGCTGTCGCCGCGGCGCAAGGGCGCACGCGCGGGCCGAGGTGCGCCAGGGGGCGGGCCTGCAGTCCCGGTGGCGGGGACCGCGCGTGCGCCGCCGGGGTCGCTGTGCTGCCTCCCACGTTGCTGCCACTGCTTGCGCACGTGCGTGTGTGCGCGTGCGCGGTGGCGTGCCGCTGCCGGCGTGTCGTCGAAGTGCGGGTCGTGTCGCAGGAACTCGTGGAAGAGCGCGTCGGTCTTCTCGTCTATGCTGTAGTCACGACGCGGCCGCCGCGACCAGGCGCGGGGACTGTGGGGCAGGGGCACGGGCGCGGCTAGCGGCGGGGGCTCAATGACCACGAGGTCATCCCCGGCGCCGCGGCCCTCGATGCTGGCGTAGCCGCTGTCCATCTGCAGCAGGCGGCGAGCCTCGCCGTCCTTGGGGCGCGGGGGCGCCGGCGGCGAGGGCGGTGGAAAGGTGGGCGCCGCGCCCCCTGAGCCCGAGCTGTCACCGCTGCGCACCGAGTCGTGGTCGTTGCCACTGCTGCTGTGGTCTGAGGCGGTGGCCGCGTGCAGCTCGAGCGAAGCGCGCAGGCTCCACAGGTCGCGGTAGCTGGCCTGAGCCTGTTCAGCATCCAGTTCTCCCTGCTCGGGCCCCGCGATGCCGCTGCCCTCCGGGGGGGACTCGGGGCTCACGCCTCCCGCTGCCTCGGCTGCCTCTAGCCTGCAAGCCAGGCCGCGGTCATCAGAGCCTGCCGGCCACCCGCCTCTGGGTGTGTGATGGGGCTGGGTGACCTCAGGACTGGCTTTGGGATTCAGGGGCCAGCTATTGCCCCCCACCCCCAAGAGTTAACTACCATTTCCCTCTTCTAGTCTCTCCAGAAACATGGAGGCTAGAGGCTCGACCGGACAGTCATTTTACCCACCCATCCAGGGGTTGACAGGACCACCAGAGGGAGGCACAGAAATCAAAGTCCCTTGCCCTGAGGCTTAGGGAGGAAGGCACCCCAGGCATCCCTGTGCACCCAGCCCCCTAACACCCACGGGTTTGAGCACAAGTTGCAGGACAGCTGCGTGCAAGTGGGGGTGGAGAGGGGAAGGTGTTATGGTGGGAGAGAAGGTAAAGGATTCTGGGAGGAGGCCGTCCATCCCTCAGGAGCCTGGGCAGGCAGGAGGGGGCCAGGCATCACTGAGGAGCCCCTTGGGCCTTGGATTCCACCAGGAAGTGGCAGCATCAGAGTGGACACAAGTCCACAGTGGCCCTGCCTGTGTAGGTGGCCCTTCTTGGGGAGCCTGGGGCCATCACCTGGAGCCACACCTGCCCCCCTACCCTTACCCAGTATCTCCCTCTTTCCCTCCTCCTCCGGTCCTTGCAGGGGGACAGGAGCGCGTGTCCACAGGGCCAGGAGGGCACTCCCAGGGCCACCTAGGGGGGACGGAGCAGGGCAGGGGCCCACAGGTCCACCACTAGCACTTCTATCTACTGAAAAATACCTGCCGAGAGCAGGGGGCGGGCTGGTGGGGCTGGCCAGAAAGGGGCGGGGGGGTGGGAAGGCCACGGAGTCCCCTGCACGGGTGATGTACTGGATGAGTTCCAAATGGGGGGCGTCTCCCTCGTCTTGATCCATGCTCTCACTGGCTGCCCGCTGCCGCTGAAAGTGGTGGCGTTTGGGGGAACCTGTGTGAGGAGAGGTTTGTTGGTCTGTAATCAAACTGAAGACAAGGGGAGAGAAATCCAAGAGCAGAGAACACGGATTCAGTTAGAAGGTCACAGGTATAGAGGGGCATGGTGGCACACGCCTGTCATCCCTGTACTGGGGAGGCTGAGGCAGGAGGAGCGCTTAGACTTGAAGGCCAGCCTGTGCTACATGATGAGACCCTGTCTCAGGAAGACAAAGAGTAAATAAATAGAGGCCACAGGTGCAGCTGAGCGTGACGATGCACACCTGTAATCCCAGTACTGAGAGGCTGAGGCAGGAAGGTGGCAAATACTGCAAATACAAACCTAGCTCAGGCAATTCAGGGGCTTAGGGCCAGGGATTTAGTTCAGTGGCTTAAGCACCTGCCTGGCAAGTGTGAGGTTAGGAGTTCAATCCCCAGTATCAAAACAGAACAAAATTTAGTGGCTTAGCAAAACCCTGTCTGGAAATTTTAAAATGCAGCTCAGTATGAAGGGTTCACAGCCCTAGTACTGGGGGAAACGGCCTTGGTTAGGAGTAGTGCCCAGAGCAGCCCTGGCCAGGCAGGCACAGGCTCAAGTGAAGCCACCCAGGGGCAAGCCCAGCTGTGGAAGTGTGGGAGCGGTGGGGCCCAGGAGGTGAGTGAGGGAAGTACCCTCTCCTGCAGGCTGCAACCTGGCCTGGGGAGTTCTGGGGGGTGTCCTGGCCCCCCCTAAAGCCCCCTGGCCACAGGCCAGGACCCTCCTCTAAGGGAGCAGCCTGTGGGTGGGCCGTGGGGTAGGCAGAGCAACTGCACCAGGCAAACAGGTTTTGGGCCTCTGCAACTGCCGGTGCCTGTAATCATCACCAGGAATCAGGGCTCCATCAGAAAACGGGGTGCCACACACATGTGGATGACAGTGTCCCCTACCCAGGACCCACAGCCTCCCCAGGAGAGCAGGCCCGACCGGCCTGGGTCCCTCTGAGCCACAGCCACTCACTGAGTCCCAAGCAGGAACCTGGCCTGCTCTCCATCTCCCCAGGCACACTCCGTCTTGCCCTGGGCTCAGGGCCAGGGAGCCCTGTGCCAGGGTCAGCAGCCACCAAACCTTGGCTGAATCGGCCCCCAGCATGTCTCTAAATAAAGTTTTATTGGTGCACAGCTGTGCTTGTTTATTTACACCCATCTCTGGCTGCTTTCTACTGATAAGGGCAGCACCAAAGGAGGTCCTGTGGGTCCCAGGAGGTAGCTCAGCAGCATAAGTGCCTGCCTGCCAAGCGTGAGATCCTGAGTTCGATTCCCGGTACCCAAAAACAAAGAATTGTAAGGCAACTGCATGGCCATGAAATGTAGAAGCTATTACTATCCAGTCCTTATGGAAAACAAAATTTCTCTGCCTGAGTCTATCAGAAAACATGAAGTTCAGCCTGGTACAGTGGGGCACTCCTGTAATCTCAGCATTTGGGAGGCTGAGGCAGGAGAATTGGTACAAGGTCGAGATTAGCCTGGGCTACAAAGTGAGCTCAAAGACAGCCTGGACTGCACAGTGAGACCCTGTCCCAAAAAGACAAGAAAAAACCACAAAGCTCACACAGCCCAATGGACATGGTGGTTAAAGCCCCCCTGGGAAGATGAGGGAGGGTTGTGGCCAGTGAACAAAATGCACCCAGGGGCACCTAGCTGGGACACACAGTGGCCTGCGGCCCCCTGACTGCCCCTGTACAGTAATGGGCCCTGGGTCCTCCCGGCCAGCTTGGGCCAGGCACCCTGCCAGCACCTTGCTGCCCATGGGGGTGGTGACTCACCTCTTGTGTCCAGACTGGATGCCCGCTGGCTGGGCTCCAGCTTCCATTTCTTGACCTTGAAGTAGGGGCTGGCCCCGTCCAGGCTGGCGTGGCGGCGCAGGCGGGTGAGGAACTGCAGGACAGTGCCCGACCCTGAGCCCGCGGCTCCTGCCTCCCCAGGCGCTGCTGAGGTCCCGGGCACACCGGGTTTGGCGCTCCTGGCGGCTGCATCCACCTGGGGGAGGACCAAGTGCCTTCTCAGGTGTGCAGTCTCCTCCCCAGGCCCCAGCAGAGCGCCGGCCCCACCCCCACCCGGGTGCACCTGCTCGGAGCCCTCTGACGCCCTGCCGGCCCCCATGCAGAGGAGTTCAGAAGGGACAGTTCCCATAGGCTGGGTGCTGGCTGGGTCCCCTGTAGCCATGCAGAAGCCTGAGGTCCCTTACGCATGCGCCATGTCCCTCAGGCCTGGGAAGACCAGGCACAAAGCCACAAGGTGATGGCCTGCCTTGGGGTAATGGACAGAAGGAGCCCCAGTTCTTTGGTCACTCTGGGGGTAACACAGAGAGCCCCTCACCGAAGCACTTTCCCCAGAGTCACTGGATGCCAAGGGGCTGATCTCCTCGAAGTCAGCAGCACCAGCGGCCGAATTGTAGGGGTCACCTGGCAAGGCGGAGCTGGGGCCCACAGAGCGGCCGGTGAGGGCCTTCCCCAGGGGCTGCGGGACAGAGCCAGGCGGGGGAGGAAGCAGTGACAGGTCAAAGAGCACGGGAGGGTGTGGGGAACCCAGCCCTTACCCCATTGCGTGTTCCCGGGCTCCAGCCGGCCACCACCCTACCCCCACCCCTCACCTGGAAGATGGCCAGGCTGTCCTTCGGGGTGGCGGCCGGGTGGGGTGTGGCAGCTGAGCTGGCCTCCCCTGAGTCACACTCGTGGATGGTGACAATCTTGAGGGGCGGCAGGTGCAGGTGGGTGAGGCGGGAGTTCTTCAGGTGGTGAAAGTCCCCCTCAGTCAGTGTGTACCTGTAAGAGGGGTCCGGGTCAGTAGGACTCGGGGTGTCCAAGGCCAGGCCCTGTGATGTGATCTTCCAGCCTCCTGCTGCATGGAAAAGCAGCCCTGACCCCACCCTGGCCCCCACACTTCACCTGCGGCCCTTGTCCTGAGCCTTGCGGCTCTGCTCAAACAGCGCAGCTTCATTGAAGGAGACGCGGCGGCCGGTGGCGCTGGTGGACAGGAAGCGCTCGGTCTCCACATCCTGGCTCTCGGGGTCCTCGCCCCGCAACTCGGGGTCTGCCAGGAGAGCCAAGAGAGGGTAGGCCCCAGGCGGGCCGCGCTCCAAGCTGGGCAGGCCGGGACACGGGGCGGGGGCGGGGAGGGCACGGTAGGACTGAGTGACCGCAGGGCGGACGGACGGAAGGAAGGCAGGACTGACGGACAGACGGACGGAGGGGCGGGTGGGGGGCGGGCCGGGCGCGCGGGCACTCGCTCATCGCTCACACACTCACTCGCTCAGCACGCGCCTGTGCGCACCTACGCCTGGGCGTTAAGCAAACAGAGATGAGTCGGAATCGAGCTGCGCCCGGTCTGGTGAGGGAGACAGACAGACACAGACCGTCAGGCGGCCCGAGGGGGCAGGTGGCGGGCAGGCAGGCGGGCCGGCGGGCGGGCGGGCGGACAGATGGACAGACGGACGGGCAGATGGGGTGGTGGGGCCCAGCAGGCCCCTCACCTTGGGCGGGGTGGGTGCCGTTGTCCAGGTAGGTGGTGGTGGTCTTCTCTGCGTCCTCGGTGGCCCTGGGGGTCACAGAGATGGGCACAGCAGTGAGCACGGCTGATGACCCAGACAAACGGCCCCCAACCTCAGGGTCCCCGGGGGAGGTGGAGCCGCGCATGCACACCTATGGAAACGCCGGTGAACCTCCCAGCAGCGTCTGCACAGCAGCAGGACGCCAGACAGCACCACCAGCGTGCCTCCAACGAACAAGGACATCACCACGATCAGCAGCACGTAGTTGTCCAGAATGGGGTCCGGCTCGGCCTACGCATAGGACGGGAGGCGTCAGGGTCCTGCTGGCCACCCCGACTTCCGGTCCACTCTCAAGCCCCAGGCCTGGATGCAACCCACCCACCGTGGGATGGATGGTGGAATTGTCCCACGACGTTGTCAGGGCAACCGTGGCGGTGGCAGTGGTGGCCATGGTGGCGGTGGGCTGCATCTTGAGGCTAGGATAGGGATATAGGGGGACACACAGGGACAGCTCAGCAGCCAGCCTCGAGGGAGCTACTGGAGATGAGTCCCCTCGTCCCTGCTGGAAGCGGTAGCCCACACAGGACGGTGACTCATGGACAGGAGGGGCAGGGCACTGCGGCAGCCCCCGCCCTGCACAGAGCGCGCACCAGGCTCGGGGTTGGAGGGCTTCTCCCTGGGGACCTCCGTTCTGCCATCTTTACTCTGGGAGAGGAAGTGGTGTCCGTGTGTGTGTTTGTGCGCGTGTGTGCGTGTGCACGCGTGCTTGTGGATCACAACTGACTCCCTGTCTGATGCATGGGCTGGGAGAAGCCCCCTTTGGGAAACAGGGTGCATGAGACCGACCAGGTAGGACTCTGGCAACACTCCGGGTGGCCTTGTGGTGCTTTACACGGAGAAATGGGTGGCCCAACCAGGCGTGGTCAGGTGTTCCCAGCCACCTGACACAAGGGATCTGTCCCAAGGGAACTCGCTGAGGGCTGTGCCAGGAACCCCTCCTCCCAAGTCACGACTTGCGAGGTTAAGGTCCCTCTGCACCCACACTGGTGGGAGTGGAAAGGACAAAAGAGACGCATCTGCTCCTGCCCCGAGAATCTAGTTCCCATGGCGACCGTGCGCAGGCCGAGCTGGGGGGCGGGTTGCCAGGGAGAGGGAGGGCAGCAGGGAGGGGGCGCGGGGACGAGGAGGCCGCCCGCGGGGGCGCCCCAGCCGTGGCGGCTGCAAGATGGCTGCGCCGCACGCCCGCCAGTGCCCAACCTGTGCGCCCGCACCAGCCCAGGCCCAGGCGGCTGGCCTCCAGGCCACCTCGCGCCCTGGCGGGGGGGGGGGAGTGAGGCTAGGGAAGGGGCTCTCTCGATACTCGGGAGCCGAGGGGGGCTGCCTGCAAACTTGCACCTGATCTACCCGGGACGGGAAGGGCTTGCAGCCTTGGAGGCGAAGCTCTGGCCATTCTGGCCCGCGGCCCCGAGCTGGCATGGCGCGCGTGAGAGCCCCTGTCCCCACCAGAGAGGCGCGAAGGCTCCAAGCATCGCCAGCCAGCCCACCTCACGCGTCGAGCCCCTGGCCATAGGTGAAACCGTGGCCCTGAGGAGGGGAAGGTGCACGAGAGAGGCCCGGTGTCCTCAGCGCTCCGGGTCAGGGGCTTGCTGGGACTCCCCGGTTTGGGAGAGTGGGGGCCCCAGATGTAGGTCGGGAAACGAGTTCAAACTGGAGGGGGTGGGGCAGCGGCGCAGGCACAGCGACGGGAGGAGACCAGGAGGAGGACTGGAGACGCAGAGCCGAGCGACAGGGGGCTCGCGGAGGCGGGCGGGACGCGGGGCTGCGGGCGGAGGCTCCCCGTGACCCCGAGCCCACTGCTCTGGACGCTGCACTACTCCAGGAGGCCGAGGCGCGGTGCCCTCACCCGATCTAACCCGGGGAAACTGAGGCCGGGCTATGACGCGGGCCGGAGGCGCCGCTCTGCCAGGTCGCAAGGCGACGGGGCGGGGTACAGAGCGACGCAGGCCGCCCTCTGGCCCGCGGTTCCTCCGCGTCCTCCTTGGAGAAGGCGCGCGCGAGAGCCGGGGCCCGGGCCAGGGCACGCCCCAGGGCCGGCCACCATCCCCGGTGGCGCGCGCTGCCCGCCCGTCCCCGCCCGCCCGGGGCCCGCCGCGCCTACCTCAGCGCCGGGACGCGCAGCCCATGGGCGGAGGGCGGCGGGCGGGCGGCGGCTGCGCGGCGTTCCCGGCTGGCTCGGGCGCCCGGTGGCCTCGGAGCAGGCGGAGAATTTATGAATGGAGAGCGCGGCGCGCACGGGGGAGGCTGGCGCGAGAGGAGGGGCCGCGCACGTGACCGCGTTGGCGGCGCTCCCGCTCGGTGCGCCCGGTGCCGCCCGGTGCCCAGCTGGCCGCCCCCGCCGCTCTCGCCACCGCGTCTGGCTCGCTCCGCGCCGGCCACCGCCTCCCCTTCCCTTCCGGCGGGGGCGGGGGGCGGAGCCTGCGCTCCCGGGCGCCCCCTCCTGCGGCGCCCCGGTCCCCACTCCCTGCTGCGCTGCAAGACTCACCTACTCCAGGTCCTCGTTCTCCAGAGAGGCAGCGCGGGGGAGGGGGGTTAGGGCGCATGACTCCCCATAGCTCAGGCCCCTGAGGCCGACAGCCTCTTCTGGGGTGCAAGAATCGTCCTGGGTCCCAAGGCACGGGGCCAGGGATCCGGGGGTGCGCCAACAGTCCATCTTATTGGTCCTCTGGGTGCACTGACCCGGCACCCTCAGGGATCTGTAGGGTGTCCAGTTCAGGGAATCTGAGGACAGGGACTTCACTTATTGCCTCGGTGCATGTGGATCCCCGGTGGCACTGTCAAGGGCCTGCCATGGTCTCTCCAAGGTAACCAAAGGTAAGCCAAGTACTCAGAGCATCCCTGGGTGTCCCCGGGACACCTTACATCTACAGAGGCCCACCCCTGGGACACCATGCCCTTTGAAGCCCCACTTTTTTTTTCCTTTTGGTGCTGGGGCTCCAGCACATTAAACCTGGGCCCCGTGACTGAACTACACCCCCAGCTGTCCCCCACTTCCACTCTGATACTCCGTGCATTCTTTTAATTGCTTAGGCCACCCATCTGCCACCAGCCTTGTCAGATCCGGTCCCAGCCACCCTGGGCCGAGGCGACAGGCTTCCCCCTACCATCCTTCTGCTACTAGGAAGTCAGCAGGCTCAGGCAGCCTCAGGGCCTAGAGGCCTGTGTCTGCCCAGCAGCCCATGGTGTGTACTTTAAAAAGTTCGGCCCTCCCCCAGCTTTCCCAAGAAACCGTCATTCCATAGCAACCTGCAGCCCATGCCCTGGGGTCCCTTTTCTGCTGTGTCTATGATCTTACATCGAGTTTCCTCCTCCTCCATGTTGTCCAATTACACTGTGAATTCCAAGGACAGGAAATTTATTTATTTATTTATTTTACACTGAGCCACATCCCGGCCTTTTTTTTTGGGGGGGGGGTCTTTTTGAGGCAAGGTCTCCCTATGCAGTTCAGGCTGAACTTGAGCTCACTTTGTAGCCCAGGCTGGTCTCGAACTCGAAACGATCCTTCTGCTTTAGCCTCCTGAGTGCTGGGATGACAGGGGTGAGCCACCAAACCAGGCCTGCAGCCCTTCATTTTTTTTTTTTTTTTTAAACTTTTATCGGTACTGGGGATCGAACTCACGGCCGCCGCTTGCAAGGCAGGTACTTATGCCACTGAGCTAAATCACCAGCCACCCCCCCTCAATTTTTTTAAAGGTGTGCTGGGCTCGGTGCCTCACACCTGTCATTCTAGCAGTCGGGAAGTTGAGGTAGGAGAATCTCCAAGAGTTCCAGGCCAGTTTGGAATTCAGAGTTCAAGGATAGCCTAAATTACAAAGCAAGCTGGGTTGCTAAATTGTCCAAGTAGAGATGGCCTTGGCCATCCGCCTGTCTCAGCCTCCCAGAATGCTGAGATGACAGGCGGTGGGCCACACCTAACAGGACAGGACATGCTTCAGCACAGGAAGGAATGGAGATATGGGAAAGGCCCCAAGAAGCAATGCGTTTGCAAAAGGCAAAGCAGAGAGACCAGGACATGGCTCCCAGCCAAGGATCGGGCTTCAGCTCTGGTACCTGGAAAGAGGAGGCTGGGGCCACACAGGCCAGAGATGGCCACAAAGGCAGGGATGCGTGGATGGGCTGCACAGAGTTGTTTCCAGATCTTCCCAGGTTTGGGCCCTAAATAACTACATAGCTGTCACCTGTCGGCCTTCAAAGTGGGGACTGCAGGGTTAGCCAATCACAGCTTTTTTTCCCCCCAAGTGCTAAGTTTGAGAAGCCCATTAGGTCTTTCTGCTCCATGGACTGTGCACCTAGTGAAGGCTAGGGTTTCCCGCTGCACCCAGAGTCTGGGCCAGAAGGTCTAGGTCATTTAGATTGAAGACCCAAAGTGTCTCTCACAGTGCCAGCCTGGGGTCTCTGACATGGATCAACAGAAGCCTGGATCCTGGGGTCCAGGAATGCAGGCTCTAGGTGTAGGAAGCCATGCGGCGTGTTAAGACCCTAAATGTCCCTCCCTGTTGCATGGTTAGGCAGGGGTCCCCAGACCCCCACTCAGTGAGACCACAATCCCCAGTACCATGGCCTCAGGTCCCCTGCCAGGCCTAACCCGGCATCTTCCGGAATCCCAAGGAGCAGGGGGTAGAGAGCCAGCCCAACCCAGGGCACCGACTTGCGTGAGTGCGGGGGCGGGGCGGTGACGTCATGGCAGCGAGCGAGGCTGCGCGGGACACGGTTAACGTCAGCGGGGCTGGAGCCGCCCGCGCACGCGCTCCTGCGTCAGCGAGGCGCGGGGGCTGCAGGCGATGGGCGGGGGCGGCCGAGCGTAGCGAGCCCATCTCCAGGCGCTGAGCTCCCCCTGCTGGTCCTGGAACATCTCGCAACCGTCCACGCGCGCCGTGCCTCACTTGAGATGCCATTCCTGACGCTTGCGTGTAGAGATGAAGCTTTTGCTGCTGCCCCATCCCGCCCCTTAGTTTGTGTTACGTGTTTATTGTCGTACCTGTCCCTTTTGTTATTTTCTCAGGCTGGTTCTGAAATCCCAGGTTGACCTCGAACTCACAGTGACCCGTCTGCCTCATCCTCTTGAGTGATGGGGTTACAGGCATGAGCCATCACGTCCAGCGAGCCTCTTTTAACACCATATAGATTAGTTTATGTGTGACGAATAACAAACGCTTCATCATCCTCGAGCACCCTGCTCCTGCCTCCCAGGAGTCTGCAGCGCCTGCCCTCCAATGAGCGCCCCGAAGCAACGTTGGAGCCAAAGTGGGCCTCTCTTCGCACAAGCGTCGAGTGCTACTGGTGGAGAAAAGTCTAACCATCCACCCTACGAATTTTCAACCCCTGCGCGGGTGGGAAGAAAACTACAACTCCCAGGATCGCCCTCGCGCAGGATGCTGCGATTTCATCATCGACGTTGCGCGCGGACTGCCGGGAGTCGTAGTGCACGCGTGCGCGCTCACGGGGACTGCGCCTCCCAGAAGCCTTCGCGTGTCGTCCTCCTCGCCCTCCAGGCCGCTTCTCCTGCCGGAGTCCGGTGTTCTCCGCCGCCGTTGTTCGTCCACCGCCGCTACCATGCTGCCCGCCGCACTGCTCCGCCGTCCGGGCCTGGGTCGCTTGGTGCGCCAGGCGCGCGCCTACGCCGAAGCTGCCGCTGCCCCGGCTCCCGCTGCCGGCCCGAGCCAGATGTCCTTCACCTTCGCCTCTCCCACACAGGTCCGGACCCCGCGCCGTCGCCGTGGCCGTCCCCGGGGCGGAAGCCTCCCTCGGTGTCCTCTTCCCCGCCTGTCCGGTCCCTGAAGATGAGGCGCCCCCAACCCACAGAATCGCAGGATTCTTCGGCTGCACCTCGGAAACCGAGGTCGCATGCCCCGGTGGCCGAACACTTTTCCTGGACCCCGCGACTTCCCCAGCCGTGGGGTCCTGAGGCTGAGGTCCCCCAGCCCGCAGGGTCGCCGCACCCCAGTCGTGCACCTCGGGACGGGGCAGGGCGGGGCCGGTCGGAGCGGGAGAAGAAACAGCTCGCAGACTTCCACCCCGGAACCGCGTCCTCAGGACCGTTTGTCCTGTCTCTCGCCGTCCCGCGCACTTTGTCCCGGGCGCTTGTCTAGATAAACTCGGGTACTCCCGTCTCCGCGCAGACGTGCTTTGCGGGTGCTTCTCTGGGGAGTGGCACAGCCCCGTGTGCCGGTGTTCCATTTTGCAGACAAGCGATGGAAGGAACTGCCGCCAAACTAAACGTAGCGCTGGTGGCCTTTGTCCCCACCTGGGCTCAGTCCTGCCTAGACCCAGGTTTGCAGGAAAGACTGAGGCCCTAGTGGCTACGGGGCAAGCCAGCAGTAACGTGTTCCCCCTCTTCCTGTCCAGGTGTTTTTCAATGGTGCCAATGTGCGGCAGGTGGACGTTCCCACGCTGACCGGAGCTTTTGGCATCCTGGCGTCCCACGTGCCCACCCTGCAGGTCCTGCGGCCTGGACTTGTTGTGGTCTACGCCGAAGATGGCACCACCACGAAGTACTTCGGTTAGTCTAGTGGGCCTCGATGGGCACCTCCACCTGTTCCCACAGGGCTGGGCACACGCGCGTGTGCAAACAGTTCACCTTACTGTGAGTTAACGTATGTTGGGTGTGGGGTGGTGATGGATGCTAGCAATAGACAGGCAGTTTGGGGAAGACGGTCAAGCTAAGGAGCTGGTTGTAGAAGTGGACATCCAGCATCCCAGCTTTTCAGGAGGCTGAGGCAGAAAGATGGTAAGGTTGAACCCAGCTGGGGCAACTTCCCAAAGCCTTGTCTCAGGATTTTAGAAAGGATGGGGTGGGGATAGATTGGTGTTCAGGTGTGGGTTTGCTTCCCAGTATCCAGGGTAGGGAAAAAGCCGGGGCTGAGAAAGCCCGTCTTCATAGGAAGGAGTGGGTCTTGAACCTGGCTTAGTCTGGTGTGTTTCTCCTGAGCTAGGCTCATCTCATGGGCTGGTGGGTCCAAGGAGGGGCTGCGTGGTCCCCAAGGCTCTTCTCCGGGTTTTTCTCCTGGCCTGTTCTGTTCTCCCTTGGACAGTTTGTCTCTCTCACCACCAGCATGTGTTGAGCCCTGGGGGCAGTTGTGGGGTCTTCCTGGGCTGGTAGCTCTTTGCACACTTGGGTATGGAGGCTGTTGGCCGGGTTGGGCACTGAGGACTCAGGCTGTCCCCACCATCTCCTCTGCAGTGAGCAGCGGGTCAGTCACAGTGAATGCTGACTCCTCCGTGCAGCTGCTGGCTGAAGAGGCTGTGACACTGGACATGTTGGACCTGGGGGTGAGCATCTGTGGGGAAACTGAGGCTCAGAACTGGCTGGAGTGGTCGGTCCGGAGTTCCTTGGGTCCCAGGGAGGGCGCTCAGTGCAAGGAGAGGTGCTGGGCTGGTGGTCCTGGGCCCCCCTTCACCCTGTATCCACCCCTTGCAGATGGCCAGGGCGAACCTGGAGAAGGCACAGTCGGAACTGTCGGGGGTTTCGGATGAGGCTGCACGTGCAGAAATCCAAATCCGAATCGAGGCTAACGAGGCCTTGGTGAAGGCCCTTGAGTAGGTGGTGCGTGCTCCTCTTCACCCTGGAAACCAAGGCCAGGCCAAGGACCCCCGGGGCAGGTGGAGCCAGTGCCCTGGCTGGCCTCTTGGGGCATGGTCTGCAGATCTTGGAATCGAGCTTGCTTCGATGGCCACCAGGGTGCAGTACAGACTGACTCATGCCCAGTGTTCAGGCCTGGCCATGGGGCCTGACACCTTGCAAGGTGTCCTGATGGCCACTCACCACCACCCCGCCCACACACCCTGCCTTGGAGACCTGCCTGCTCCAGCCTCTGACCCCATTAAAGATGGGGATTCCTACCTGGTGTGTACCATTTTTGTACTGCAGCTTGGGGTGGTGGCGCTGGGACCTTCCTTGACTGCCCCTGGAACACACTCTGTGCCCTTTAACCGTGGGCCTCAGAACCTCCTGGGACTGGGTGACCAGGTTGCCCTCAGTAGACTGAAGCTGAGCAGCAGTGTGTGCGGTGCAGGGTGCCAGCCATGGATGGAGGGGCATGAAGATCACATCCAGGGCCAGGGTGGTGGCAGGGGAGTCAGGCCTGGGCTGCAGCACAAGACACCTGGTGTCCCTGCCAGGTCTGCTGTCTAGGCCTGCTGCTGAGACCTCCCCATCCCGCCCCACAGGCCTGGGAAGTGGGGCCCCACCTGCTCCCACAGAGGCCCTGCCCCATGCCCTGCCCAGCCTGTGGGTGGCCCATCCCTGGCACAAAGCCCAGGCCCAGTGCTGCTGGCACCTCTAGCACTCTAGGTAGGTGTGCAGGCCCCTGGCTGGCCCCACACAGAGAGGCAGGCCTGGGATAGGGGTACCTTCGGCCCTTCTCATCTGCTCTGCACTCCTGTAGGGGTGGCTGGGCCACTGGGGACAGCTATCCCTGGCTCTCTTTCCTCCCCCACCATGTCAAATTCCAGAGGGGTGAGTGTAAAGTCAAGGTTACTGCCTGGCCGTGTCCCTGGAGCCAGGATGGTGACGGGGACCCTGGGGCCACCCTGGGGCCTGTGTGTGGCCTGTGTCAGCTCACAGGCGGCTAATGACGTCAGCCCCGTGCAGCTGACTCCCCGGGGCCACATGCCAGGCCTGGCCATATCTCCAGACGCACCCTGGGGTGTCCTATCTGAAGGTCACGAAGGGTCAGGAGCCCAGCTTGGATCTCATTGGGGTCTTGCTCCTTCTGGGCCCAAGGACCAGGAAGCTGCCCCCCTCGACCAGTGCAGGCTTCACCCTCGCCATCTCCCACAGCCAGGAATGCTATAAATAAGAGGGGGTGGTGGCTGGGCCCCAGAGGAAGGAGAGGTCTCTCCTGACCAGGGACAGTCTGCAGTGGCTGGCCAGTCCCGGGGGAGGAAGAGGGCAGGGCAGCTAGGGGTTCAGGGCCGCACCCAGGGCTTCTATGCACACCCGAGGGGGGGTCCCCACTGGAAGAAAGGCAGGAGCAGGTGTCACCAAGCTTTTATTTAGCTAGCAGGCGTCTCTTCAGCGGACCTCCTCTCCCTCCCAGAGTCACCATACTCCCTGGAGTTGGGGTTCACTCCTGGTCACCTGAGGTCATACAGTCCAGATGGTAGGGCCTACCCCTGCCCAAGAAGAGAGGGAGAGGTGAGCAGGGGTAGCTGCAGAAGTCCCCAACATTGGGTGGCTTGGTGTTCAGGGCCAGAAGCTCCTTGACACCAGTGTCCTTCCTTGAACTGCTACAGCTGTCCGGGGCCAGTGTGTGTTCAATGGCTGGAGCCCCATCCTTAGAGTCACCCCTCAAAAGCCAAGTCCCTGGAACCCCCTTCCAAGGGTGTCTGGCCTAGACCTGACCCTAGTGGAGGAGAGTGTCCCAGGGTGTGGGGTGGGTAGCAGGGGATTCGAGGAGCTTTAGGGTGAGAGCCTTGACCTGGAAAGGCACAGCCCTGGGAGGGGCGCCCCAAGGCTGGGGCGGGGGTGGTGGTGGTCAGAGGAGATAAAGGGAGAAAGCAGATAACTTGGACTGGAGGCCATAGAGGGCAGCCTGGGTACCCCTTTACCCTGGCCCAGTCAGGGTCATCCTGGGAAACCCTCACTGGGGAAAGGAGGTGAGGGTTGTGTGCTCGCATTTTTCGGGCCAGGCGAGGACAATAACCCCTTACCTGTGGGCACTAGAGTGAGCCCTGGGGAGGGGGGGACTTAGGCCCGTTCCTGAGGTCACACAGCTGCCCATGGTGACAGGCTGGCCCGACCCACTCCAGCCTCTGGCTAGTCACTTGGGAAATGCCCTCTGAGGTCACCGTTAGGGGATGCAGCAGCTGCCCGGACACCACTGCCTGGCAGCTGACCTGGGCCTGTTTTCCTGGACGGCAGCCGCTGACTCAGGTCTCCTTCCCGTTCCCTAGCACGGGCGCCCCCAGGCGGAAGCACCGAGCCTGGACGGCCAGGAAGGGACCCAGGGCAAGGATGGTGGCCCTGAGCCCCAAAACGCAGTCTGTGGGTGCACCCAAGGTCACCACGAGGTAGGCATGGCTCCTGGGTCAGGGTATTCAGCATGAGCGGCCCCCCCACACACACACACCCGAGCGAAGCCAGAGGATAGGGTATCCCGGGCCACTGCTCCCCCGGGCCCTGGCCAGCAGGCAGGGGCGGGGGCCAGTGCGTCACCTCCCGCCTGGCACCCCCTCCCACCCCCTGCCCGCCCAAACTCCACCCCGAGGGAAGGCGGTGCGGATAAAGGCTCGGGGCCGCTCGCAGAGCCCCAGACGGGTCAGGCTGCCGCATCCCTGCTTCGGCGCGCGGGCTCTCTCAGGACTGTGGGGACCCAGGGCCAACCGCGCCTGGTGAGTGGGGGGCGGGACTTCGGGGGCGAGGCGGGGTGGGGCGGGGAGAGCTCCCCACTCCATAGATTGCTCACAGCGTCCCCATTTGTCTTTGTCTTTGGGGCCGACTGGAGTCTGGGGTGCTTCGGGCTGAGGAGACCCCTGCGCTACTCAGTGGAAGGCGCTGGGTGCTGCTGGCAACGTCCTGGCGAGACCGCAGCCCCCGCCCCGCCCCCTGGGCACTCCCCTTTCTCGCCAGTGACCTTGAACTAGTTACCCGTGCCTGCCTCAGTTGCTCCGCCTTGCTAGCCTAGTCTCCACAAGCGAAGGGTGCAGTTCCCCCCGCGGGGTTCGTTCCAGGTCTTCACCCCTTTGGCTCCCTTCCCCAGTCCCCCGCCCCGGACTGCGGGCAGCGTCCCGGGTGCGGCCGGCAGAGGGCGCGTCGGCGCTGCTGACTCACCGCTGCCCCGAGCAGAGTACGCGGACGCAGCCAGGGACGCCGCGTCACGTCACGGCTCCGGGCGAGCGCGTCTCGGGAAACGGGCCTGGCCCGGGGGACTTCGGGGAGCAGGGATGCACGATGGCACCGGCTAGGGAGGGACGCGACTGGCCTTGGCCACGTCACCTGGGTGCAGCGCCCTGCCCATGGCCTCGCGCCCCGCCCAGGCCTCCACACCTACCCACCCACGGGGGCGGAGACAGGCCACCGGCTGGCCCCCGTCCCGGCACCGCGCGGCCGCGGACCTCGGCCACGAGGCGCAGGGTTCACGCTCCCGCTTCCGCTGAAGGTTGCTTCCCGGACGGACGCGGTGGGGAGGCCCCACGACTTCCTGTCCCTCCTGGCTGCGGGAACAATGACCCGCGCCCCCTCCTCACACTCAGGCCGCTCCCCTGGGGAACCCGTGAGGGTGGAGGGACGTCCCGAAGCCCGGCCCCGGGCCCTTGAGGGCCCTCCCGCCCTGCCTTTGTTACGAGCTCCCAGCCTTATGAATGGCTGTGGGTGCGGGCGGGGGTGCGGAGGAGGGCCCGGAATGGTGCCAGCCCCGCCCTCGTTGCGCTCCCATTGGGCTCCCGGGCGACGGGGGTGGTGCTAAGGGCAGGACACGCTGCCACGTGGGGCAGTGCCGCGGCCGCTCCCATTGGTCGGGATTCGCGGCCGACTGGATGTTCGGTGTCCGCCTATTGGTCGTTGCAGGGCCGGCGGAGTAAGTAGTGAATGGGAGGGGGCGGCGGTCCCGCCCCTTGGAACGTTGATACATTATAACTTTTTTTTCTTGTTACTTTCACCCCCAGATCCTGAGAGCGGCGGCTGCTGCGGCTGTTGCTAAGGGAGGGGACGCGCTGGGTAGCGCGACCCGAAAGGCAGAGGCACCGAGCGCGCCGTGCCAGGGCGCCCCCTCCAAGGGACCCTCCCCACGCTGTGCTCCGGCCGAGAAAGCGCCAGGAGATCAGACCCCACCCCGGAGCAAGACCCAAGGAGCGGACGCAACCCCGGAGCGCCCCTGGGATTCTTTTATTTGCGATTAGCCTACCACCGCTGGGACCTTCTCGAGGGGCCCGCGCGCTACAGCCATCTCCAAGCGCCTGGAAGGAGGACCCCAGTTCGGGGGAGTCCCGGCCTCGAAAGGCGCGGCAAGGATTGGTGGCGCCCCGCGGACCCCAGACCCCCAGCGCGTGCCGGGGATGGAGCCGCAGCCCGGCAGCACCCGGAGCTGCAGGCGCGGGGCCCCCGGTGGCGCCTGCGAACTGGGCCCAGCGCCTGAGACGGCGCCCATAAGCCTGGCTATCCACAGCACCACCGGAACCCGCTACGACCTATCGGTGCCGCCCGACGAGACAGTGGAGGGGCTGCGCAAGCGGCTGTCCCAGCGCCTCAAAGTGCCCAAGGAGCGCCTGGCGCTGCTCCACAAAGACACGTAGGTACCGCGCCGACCCCGACCTCCTGCGCTCACTCCTCCGCACGCCGGGCCGCCCCCTCGGGCCCCGGACCCCGGGCAGGAACAAAGAGCGCGCCGCGCGGGGAAGCTGGGGGGGGCGGCGGGACGGGGGCGCGCCGCGCGCTCTCGGGCGCCCTCTGCTCGGCCTTGCCTGCCTCGACCCCCCCTCCTCCGCCCGGGGTCGCCACACAAAGGCGGGGGCGGGGGCGCCGGGCCTGGTTCCGCGGCTCCCCTTCTCAGGGTTGGGGGGAAGGCAGGTTCCCCAGGGCGCAGGGGGGTCCCGACTGCTTGAGTGGGGGCCGTGGCCGCCTCCTCTTGTGCCGGCGTCCTCGCTGGCTTCCGCATCTGCTCGGCGGCCCCCTCTGCCTCTGGTTGTCCTCCCCCCACTTGCGTCTCTGCCCCGCTTTGTTCTCGCCACTGAGCGTTCCCCACTGCCTCCCCCTCCCCCCTGGTATTTAAATCGCCTCCAGGCCGGGAGTCCTCCCCCCCTCGGGCCTCGAGGGACACTCAGTGTCCATCCCCAGTGGAGGGGCTGCGGTGGGGGAGGGGCAGGAGGGGGAGGGTCTCCTTTGTCTGAGCCGCAGCCGCCTGCGCCAGGGAGGGAGGAGGGGGAGCCCGGCTAGGCGCAGCCCCCCGAAGGCCTCTTCAAGGGCCAAAGCCCTGAGGCGTCCACAAAGACACGCCAGAGCCGGAGTTGGGGAATTACAGACAGGGGCTGGCCGGGGGGGGGCGCGGGGGAAGGAACTGAAGGGCACACGGGCCGGAGGGGGGGGTCCAGGTGAGCAGAAAGGGAAAAGTGCCCTGTCGAAATGCAAAAGCGGGGTCCCCAGTCTATAGAGTTAGGTCTCGGACAGGAGGTCTGAGCTGTGAGAACTGGGGTGGAGGGGGGCTCCCAGGTTCCAGCAGCCTCCCCCACACTCACAGGGTACAGGATCTGGAAGCCGGGAAAGGAGGGGGTGGGAAGGACTCCTGTCTCTCCCCACTCCCGCAGCACCCCCCCTCCCGGCCCCCGCTTCCGCGTCCCTGTGTAGTCTGTGCGGCTCACCCTCTTCCTTCCTGCCCCCAGCCGGCTGAGTTCGGGGAAGCTGCTGGAGCTCGGCGTGGGGGATGGCAGTAAGCTGACGTTGGTGCCCACCGTGGAAGCGGGCCTCATGGTAAATGGCTGCTGTGGGGTGGAGTGCCCAGAGCTCCCGGGAGGCCCTGCACACAGGGGCAAGGGCAGGCGAAGCCCGCTCTCCCTGCCAGGCCACTGTCAGTCACCTGCGTGCGTGCCCCCTCGCCTGCAGAGGCGGCCCTCTCTACACTCAGGAATCTTCTCCCTCCCTCTCTTTGTAGTCCCAGGCCTCAAGGCCGGAGCAGTCTGTCATGCAAGCCCTTGAGAGTCTGACCGAGACCCAGGTAAGCCCCTGCCAGTGCTTTTAACCTCCACCCTACTGCAGGCCACCGCCTGCGGAGCAGACCCGGGGTGCTCCAAACATGCAGGAGGGCGTGGGGTGCTGGTGGAGGGGAGGGGCTCGTGCCCCACCTTGGTGCCAGCTTGACTGGGCACTGGGCTTCCTCTTCCTCCACCCTCACCCCCACCCCCGCCCCCTTCTGACCTTGAGGGCTTTCTCTCTTGGCGGGGGAAGGGGATCCAGGTTTCACAAGCCTGCCTGTGGGGTGACCTTGGCCCACGCGTGGGAGTGCTTACACCCGAAGGCCTGGTCACCAGCCCAGCACACCCCTACCCTAGAGCTACCCCCAGCAGAAAAAAACTGGCTTCCCCAAACTGACACCTAGAGTTTCTCTTTTTCGAATTTCTGCTTCCAGTCTAGGAAGGGAGGGGTTGGCCAGGGTGACCCCAGTGTGAGGGGGTGGGGAGTCACCACACCACTGCAGCCTCTCCTCCTCCTGCTCTCTCTGGCCTTTGTTCTGTGCCCTGAATGTGGGAGGGGGTAAATGGGAGGGGGCGGGGGCAGCCAGCCTGAGGCCGGGGAGGCTGAGACAGGATGTTAGGAAAATATTTAGTAAGCCTTGCCAGGAGGGAGGTTGGGGCTGGCTCTAACCGGGTTCCTGGTTTTGTTGAAGCCTTTTTTTTTCCCCTTCTCCTCCTCCTTTTCTCATTTTCTTGGCCGAGGCTGGGCCTTCCTCAGATGCGGGCCCTGGCCACCTCCCAGAAGGGTGACACAGGCCTCAGCAATCTGCCTGCTGCCAGGGTGGGGGAAGCAGGCTGCTGCCCGCCCTGGAAAGGGGTGGGCAGGTTCCTGGGCCTCCCTGGCCAGGCCAGGCCAGGGCCAGGCCAGGCTGCCACAGGAAACCTGCTTCTCCAGTCACACATTCTTCTCTTACTGCTGCCCAAGGCCGTCTCCCCCTTCCCCAGCCAGCCTGCAGCGTGTAGCATCCTGCCCTGGCCAGGCAGCAGGGGCTGGGGGTGGGGGACAGGACTGGGTGGTCTGAGCTGGGCTATGGGAGAGAGCCAGGGGTCCCAGCATCCGGATGAAGGGGGGACAGGTGGTTTCCTGGGGCGAGTGTGAGCAGCTCCCCAATGCTGTGCAGAGGGACTGTGGTTGGGGCGGGTGGGGGGGCGCGCCTGGGTGTGTTTGGTTCACATCTTCCCCAGGTGCCAGCATCAGGAGGGAGATGGGGGTGTGCTGGGTGGAGACACTGGGCTCCCCAGGGCTGCTTCCTTGCCTGGCACCTAGTCATGCCCGCCCATCGGCCCTCCCCAGGGAGGAAGTTACAGGGCGCGTGGAGTAGGGGGGGCACCCCAGCTGCTCTCAATAGCTTCCCCAGCGGCTTGCTTCCTGCAAGGGAATCTCCGGGGTACAGGTACAGGGTGCTGTGCAGACTGGGGCCTCGAGTGGGACCACTCTGATCACCTCTTGGCTGCTGGGTCCCCTCCCCATGGCCCCAACCCCTGGAGGTTACACCAGCCCCAGCCCAGCAGCCAGCTGCTGCCAGCGAAGAGGGGAGGGAGCTCTGGGAGGCCGTCGGTAGGGTCTGAGTCATCTACTCTGTCACTTCTCAGAAACCTCCGCCCCCCTATCCCAGCCTCTGGGGAGAACCAGGCACTGGCCAGGCTCCCCCCCCCAGGGGGGGGGCTCAGTGCAGCCAGGGTCAGATAGAGCCAGGAACCTGCCCCCCCATGCAGGAGGGCAGGTCAGAGGGTTTACACACAGCCAGCTCTGCTTTCCTTGAGATCCCTGGGACCTGGCCCCCTGGGACCTGCTCAGGGCCCCTTTCCCAAAGAGATGTTGCCGCCCCCTTGCTCTCTGCCCCGCCCAGGACAGATAAATATTTATCTTGAGAAAGCAAAGGTTAGGATGGAAGAATTTGTACAGGAATTTCTGCTCTGCTGTCCGGGTGACTTAGCTGGGAGTGGGCCTGAGATGGCGCCTCCCTCTCCCATAGTCACAAGCAAGAGAGGATCTGGGGGCCCAAGAGAGTTGGGAAAAGGATGAGATGAGAGCTGAGGACAGTGACCACCCCACCCCCTTGTCCCGTCTGACCCGCCTCTGTCCCCCACAGCCCCCAGCGGCGCCTGGGCCGGGCCGGGCTGGCGGAGAAGGCTTCCGGAAATACAGATTCATTTTATTTAAGCGTCCGTGGCACCGACAGGGACCCCAGAGCCCAGAGAGGGGCGGCGAGAGGCCCCAGGTCACATAATGGGGGAGCTGGGCCGGGCCGGGCTGGGGGCACCACAGGTGGAGCCCCTCTTGCTGAAGGGCCGCCTCTCTCTGCAGGTCAGTGATTTTTTGTCCGGCCGCTCTCCACTGACCCTGGCCTTGCGCGTCGGGGACCACATGATGTTTGTCCAGCTGCAGCTCGCTGCTCAGCACGCCCCACTGCAACATCGCCACGTACTGGCCGCCGCCGCCGCCGCTGCGGCCACCACCACCCGAGGAGACTCCAGCATTGCTACCCCTGTGTCCCCCACCTGCCGGCCAGTGTCCAGTGCCGCCCGCGTCCCCCCAGTGCCCACCAGCCCTTCGCCTACATCTGCCTCCCCTGTCACAGCTGGCTCCTTCCAATCTCACGAACCCCCCACCACCTGCCCGGAGGTGAGGACTGCCTAGGTTTATCCTAAAAGCAGAGGCAGCAGACGTGGAGAGGGGTGGGGCGCTGTGTGCTGTGCCCCAGTTTCTGTATCAGGCACTGTCCCCTGAATCAGGGTTGAGCGTTTATCTGTGGACCTTGCACTCGTGGGTCAGCCCTCGCCCTGGGCTTGTGGGTGGGTTATCCTGTGGCCCTGAGCGATTGAATTTGCAAAAACAGCTAGTGCGGTGGGTGGGCGGTGTGAGAACCTCGGTCATCTCTGATCCTACGTTCATGGGTGATAACCCTGGTCCGGGCGACCCGACCCAACCCGGCCCGGTTGGTGGGTGGTTGAGGATAGACCTGTAGGGAGATGCTATACTCCTGGCTTGTCTCTAGGCCCTCGGCTAGACCCTCCGGGACCCTGACTCTGACTGCAGCTCTCACAAGCTCCCCTCTCTTCAGCAGATGGATTGCCCCTCTCCTGCCAGCAGCAGCGTCAGCCCTGGAGCCAGCACCCCTTCCACCCCAGGGGGCAGCCCTACCCCCCGCTCCCGCAAACCCGGCGCTGTTATCGAGAGCTTCGTGAACCACGCCCCGGGGGTCTTCTCAGGGACCTTCTCTGGTAGGTGTCCTAGCACAGCCATCCTCTGACCCTGTGCACACTTCAGGCTCTGTTGACCTATGTGCAGCATGCATGCCCGTGCCTGTGCGTGCGTGCTCGTGTGTGTGTGTGTGTGTGTGTGTGTGTGTGTGTGTGTGTGTGTGAGACACCACTGGGCCAGACTGCACTTTGGCTTCCAGTGTGCTGCGCCAGCTTCCACCTGTGCCCTCGGAGAGTCTTTCCTTGAGCTGTCCCCTCTGCCCACAGGCACGCTGCACCCGAACTGCCAGGACAGCAGCGGGCGGCCGCGCCGGGACATTGGCACAATCCTCCAGATCCTCAACGACCTCCTGAGCGCCACGAGGCACTACCAGGGCATGCCCCCCTCCCTGACCCAGCTCCGCTGCCACGCCCAGTGCTCGCCCACCTCGGCGGCACCTGACCTCACCCCCAAAACTACCTCCTGTGAGAAGCTGGCGGCCGCGCCCCCGGCCTCTCTACTGCAAGGCCAGAGCCAGATCCGCATGTGCAAGCCCCCTGGTGAGTGGGCACCCTCCAGGGTCCCCCGTCCCCCCGTCTGTCTTCCTGGCTCCTCAAGGGCCCTCTGTGTGCAGTGAGAGCACCAGAGCAGCTGCCCTGCCAGGCCCTGCAGCTGCAGCTCCCCCCAGGAGGCTTGGGCTGGGAGAGAAGGAGGTGTGTGTGTGTTTGGCCACAAAGTGTCCTTGTGAGCTCCAGAGGGGGCTGCAGCCACACTTCCTCCTCTCCTCCCCCGGGCTCCATCTCCAGATGCATTGGGCACCACCGTGAATGACCAGGCCAGTTCTGTCAGGAGAGGTGGGGCTGGCAGGGTCCCCTCAGTGCAGTGCGGACTCTGGGAGACTTAACCCTTCATCCCCTGGTGGTCTGGTTACCTCCCCACCCCGAGACCGACGGATGCTGGTCACTCACTGTCGTGGGCAGCAGGCATCCCCAGCCATTCATCACTGCAATCTCCATAACCTTGCTCAGAACACCTTGCTCAGAAAAGCAAGAATCTGAGGCCCAGGCCTCGGGCTTCCTGGGGGCCTGTCCCTTGGAGCAGTCCGAGGGTAAGGTAGCCCTCTCTGCCCACTCAGCCTACCTCAGAGAGCCTTGTAAATAGGGGAACACAAGTCTGGCATGATGGTGGTGCACAGCTGTCATCCCAGCACTGGAGAGGCCGAGGCACAGTCCTGGCTGAGAGTTCAAGGCCACCCTCAAGTACCTAGGGAGACCCTGACTCCAAACATCCCCAGAAATGTAGTTCCTGGAAACCAAAGCGGGGTGGCCCATACCTGTGATTCATCCTCGCAGTCAAGGAGGCTGAGGCAGGCGGATTGCAAGTTTGAGACATAACCTGAGCAATTTAAGACCCCATCTCAAAACTAAAAAGGGATGGGGGTGGCTGGGTGTGGTGGCTCTCGCCTATAATCCCAGCACTGGAGGCTGAGGCAGGAGGATGGTTGTGAGTTCAAGAGCAGGCTGGGCTGCAAAAGCAGCTCAAGACCAACCTGAACTGCATAGCAAGACCCTGTCTTAAAGACAAAAAAAGGCGGGGTGGGGATGGTGCGGTAGTCAGTCAATACTTAGTGTGCAGAATAGGAAATAGTCTGAGAGTTAACAGTCCCCCCAAGGGTGATTTCCCATGGTGCCTCTGGCTCTCCTGGGAATCACTGGTCACTGGCTCCTTTGCAGGGGACCGGCTGCGTCAGACGGAGAACCGGGCCACGCGCTGCAAAGTGGAGCGGCTCCAGCTCTTGCTGCAGCAGAAGCGCCTTCGGAGGAAGGCCCGGCGGGACGCCCGCGGCCCCTACCACTGGGCGCCCACCCGCAAGGCCGGCCGCAGCGACAGCAGTAGCAGCGGGGGCGGCAGCAGCCCCAGCGAGGCCTCCGGCCTGGGCCTTGACTTCGAGGACTCCGTTTGGAAGCCAGAAGTAAACCCTGACCTCCAGTCGGAGTTCGTGGTGGCTTAGGAACCCCCAGCACACTCGTCACCTCCCCTTGTCAAGCTTCAGCCCAGGGTGGACACCGCCACCGAGACACCACGCCCACCCCAGTGCCACAGTGCCACGGCTGGCTCCGGAGGGCAGGCGGTCACCTCCCTCCCAACCCACCCACCAGCCTTTTTCTTTTTAAGATTCTCACCGAGGTGGTACCTCCCGCATCCCCCTCCCACCTCCTGTCTTCACCAAGGACAACAATGACAATGACAAGACACCAGATCCTTCTCTCCCACCTTCCCCAGCTCCAATATGTAGCAGGCTGTCCAGATGGCAGGCGGGAGGAGGGGAGCCAGGAAGCCACCCCTGCCCCCTTCCGCTGCGCCCTCCCCTCCCGCCCTCCACCTCCCGCACCCATTCAGGTTTTTAAGTCAGAAATGTAGATGCCTCATTAAGCACTTTACAGATGAGGGGAGGGGACCGTGGAGAGGAGACTCCATCCCACCCGCCTGCAGGCTTCTGGCCTCCACCCCGGGCCAGCACATCAACCCGAATGTCACCCGAGCAAAGCCACGGGAGGGGACTGTTTTCCACATCTGTCCTTTACTTGGTCTTTTTTTTGTTTTTCTCCCCCATGTAAATCTGTGTTGATCAGTGTGGCCCAGAGCTGGGGGTGGGGTAGGGTGGGGTAGGGGAGGGGCTTTTTCCTGCCAAAAAACAAAAAATGGACACCTCCAGCTACTGGCCACCCCTGTGCCGACTTCCTCCACTCACTGTGCCCCCACCCCATTTCCCTGACCTCTTGCCTGAGTTTGGGGACTATTTATAGACTTACTAATTTTCTGACTGAGCCAATACTGGTTGGGAATGGCTTGAAAACCAGGGAGAGAACTGGCAGGGGTCTGGGGAGATCAGTGCCCCTCACCCCTTCCTGCTTGCCCAGCCCAGCCGGAGGGATGTGGGGTGTGGACTGTCGGGGGAGATTCTCCGGAACCGGATGGGGAGGGGGGGGTGCTGAGCTGTGAATGCCCTATGGGGCTGCGCTGTGTAGCATTAAGCCTCCCTGGGGTCCGCTGCTGGTCTATTTAGGACCCTCCCCACTCAATGCCGGAGCTCTGGGACCCAGGGATGGAAAGGGAGACCCCCTTTACTGGGGCCATTTCACTGGGGGTGGAGTTTGTGTTTGTTTTTTCCTATTCACTTTTTTTTATGGGAAGTTGGGGCCCGCCCTCACCTGTCGGTCCTACCTGGCCCCACATGTGCCCCCCCAGCCCCACATGTGCCCCCCCAGCCCTTTGTTCTTGTAGGTGAACCCCAAATCCTTCCTGCCCTCGTCCCGTGTTTAAATGGTTTCAGAAGTGAACATCATGTGTTACCTGTAGTTGTAAAATTTTTTGTGGGGGTGGGAGGGTAGGGAGGGGGTCCCAGATGGTAGAGGTCAAGGATTTGGTTTTTTGTTAATTTTTTTGTTTTCTGGGATTGTTTTTTCCAAGGGAAAAAATGGGGGGTGCGTTTGTTTTTTTTGAAAAACTGTCTTGTATACCTATTTAAATGTGTGTTCTGTTCTGTTTTTTAACGATTTTTAAATAACGCCCGTGCCTCCGCGGGTCTGAGGGTGGAGGTGTAGACGGAACTGGCTGGAAGTCCTCCGCCCTCCCTCAGGGTTCCCCAAGAAAGCATTACACGCCGCCCCCCGGGGTCGGGTTGTGGGGGTCCTGGCACCGCGCGAGTATGCCGTGTGAAAATTGGGAAAAAAAAAAATAAAGCCCTACACACATCTCGATTTCCAGTAATAAAACACAAAAGCTTGCGTGTGGCCTGCTCACCTGGGGAGGGGTCATCTACAGTGGCCTGGGTGGAAGCAGCGGGCAGGGCCCGGTAGCAGGCGCTTCTCACGCCCCCTCCCTGCTTGGGGGTGGGCAGGAAGCTACCGGGGTGGAGGAGGGTGGGGCGGCCACTTCCTGGCACCCGAGGCCGGAAGCCCTCGGGGTGTGGGATGCGGGTCTGCCCTCTCTCTCAGGTTGCACTCAGCCTGGGCAGGACCCACCCGCACCGGCTTTCCATTCCCGGTTCTGATGTGGGCTGTGGGGATGGGAATTTAGGAGTCAGTATCCGGGGAGACCCAGTCCTCGCGTTTTATGTCACAAGAGGAGGAGGAGGCGGCCCCAACCCTGAGAAACTCAGAGCTCTTCTTCCTGGAGTCCCGATATTATCTCGGGGACAATCACCAGCGCAGGGCCCAGGTTTCCAGGAGCCCAGACCTCCTGAGGTCCAGCCCTGGGCCCCAGGCTGACCTTGCCCTGCAGCCTCACCCAGCCCCAGTGACCTCGGGGCGCCTTTGCGGCCGCACCCTCGTGCTACATTCCAGCCCTTCATGTTCACCAGGCAAAACCTCCAGGTCTTTGCACCAGCCTTTCCCGACCCGGGAACACCTGTCTTCCCCTCCCCCAAGTCCCCTGGTCTGCCGGGGAACTCCCCCCCCCCCCCGCCCACACCCTGTCAGTCTAGGGGCTCCTCTAGGGCCCAGCCACAGAGGACCCCTAGAGAGGATCCCACCTTCATGCCTTTAGGGGTTGGGCAAAGAACCCACTATTTAATCTCCTTTTAAGTGTATTTCCTCATTTAACAAGCAGTGCAACCTAAGAGTTAGAAGTAATTATACTCCCACTGTATAGACAGGAAAACCAAGTCTCAGAGCGCTTGTCTGTTCTGTCATTAGGGTGAATATGGGACCCCCCCTCATACACATGCCCATCTGATTTCTGACGTTCCAAGCCTCTGTCCCCCTTAGCAGCCCCCCAAAGAAATTCAGAGGAGAGGGACAGTTCCCTTCCCAGGGAGGGTCCCGGACAACTTCCTCAGAGCCTGTCGCCCCTCCCACTGCCCCGTCACCCCCAAATTATCCCACGCCCCCAGGAGGAAGGCGGATGCCTGGTTAGGCCTTAAGGTCGTGGGCGCAAATGGCCCCTCGGCTTGGCGAGCATAGGGAGTGGGGAAAGAGGTTCAGGTGAAACCCGCAGTCCCCGCCCCGGGTCGCCGCCAAGCCCTTCCTGACCTCAGTCGCCACCTCCCTGAGCCCGGGGCGGAGTGGGGAGGAGGAAGGAGGATGTGATAGGAACGCCCGCTGAATCACAGTGCAGGCCCGGAACGAAGCACTCGAGGTTCCACAGCCCCCCCCCCGCCAACCTGGATGTCCCCGGGGGTCAAGGCCGCCTTGGGATTGGGGGAACGCGTGGGAAGCGGAGGTGGTGGGGGGAGATTCAAGTCGCGACAGTCTTCGGGGATGGGGCTGTCGGATGCAGGACGGTCCTGATCCGGGATCCGAGAAGGAGGAAGCCCGACTCCCAGTCTTTGCTCTGCGACCTGCGCATCCATAGCACCTGCCTACACCTGTCCTAGGAGGTGCATAGGCAGAGCAGGTGGAGGCCACGTGTTGAATCGAAGGCACGGAAAGGTACACTGAGGCACAGACTAGGCGAGAGGCTGCTGGGATCTCGGGGGGGAGCGATTGGCCAGACACCATTTCTCCATCAACCCCCTCCCTCTCCATTGAGGAAAAAGCTGAATGGGAGGGTGCGGCCCCCGGAAACCCGCAGAGATGGAAACGCTGTTTCTAAGGAAACGCACCGAAAGGAGCCTGACGTCAGTGCAGGGAGGGCGTCCCTTCGCCCCCGTCAGTTCGTCCGGAGCCCAGGCCACGCCCACCTGCGAGGAAGTCTTATTGGCGGGTGTGCGGTTCGTTTATCTGTAAACACCAATAGGATTGCGGGATAGTCAACTGCAGGCGGGACTTCAGCATGACTGGGGGTGAATGCGCAAGCGCAAGCGCGGAGGCGCAGGAGCCTCGCCATTCTCCTCTAGCGTCTGCAAATTTGGGGGCGGGAGACTCAGCCGAGGCCTGACGGCTGCGGCGCGGCCTGGACGGAAGAGGAGGCGTACCTGGGGGCGCCGCACGTGGACCCCCGGCACGGGCGCGCTCACGTGCACTCTTCTGTGCACACCCAGGCATTTCCTGTCGCAGCTCCCGCTTGCGTGTGCACGACCCCTGTCTAGCCCTCTTGCAGCTCCGAGGAGGAAGGAGGGGGAACCCTCTGGAGGAGGGAACTTTGTGGCTGTGGCTTTGCCAGGGAAATAGGAGTTAGCCCGGTGTTGTAGGAAGACAGGTTCTGTAGGTAGAAGACAGGGCCTGGAAAAATAAAAGGGGTTGCACTGGCGGGCAATAGAGAGCTCGAGTTAGTGGAGAAAAAGCAGGGATGGAAAGGCGAAGTTGGCAAGGCCCTAACGGGATGATGTGAGGTGCAGGGCGAGGGCCGTGGGGGAGGGGCAGACCAGAATATCCAGAGGCCACTGGACGCCTGGCAGCCGTAGGGTACTGCTGGGAGGTGGAGGCCGACAAGGTAGGGCTGTGGTTTTCATGGCTTAAGTTCAGTTCACAGGGAGGCGATCGACCAGGGCTGTGGCAGGGACAGATGCTGGGAAAGGGGAGGAAGGTTAAAGGCAGCCAGGCATGGTGGCGCAGGTCGGTCAGCCCACTGCGCTGGAGGGGGGGGGGGCGCTGAAACAGAAGGACCCCAAGTAGGAGCGAGGCCTGAGTAACTTAGGGAGAGCCGGCCTCAAAGTTAAAAAAGAAAAAATGGACTGGGGCTGTAACTCGGTGCCCAGGCCTGGGTTCAGTCTCTAGTAATGGAAAACAAAACAGAAAAAGAAAGAGGGGCGGGGCGAGGCTGGCCAAGCCGAACGCCGTGCCTGCCAAGGCATGAAGGACGCCCGAATTCGGCCCAGGGGGTGACCTCGAGGGTGGGCAGTGCTTCGGAGTGACAGCACGGCCACAGGAGGTCACTGGGGTCAGGGCTTTGTGCCAGAGACTGTAGTCTCCCGGGTTGACCAAGCGGGCACCTGAAGCTGGCAGCAGTGTTTGGAGATGCCAGAGGCCGGCGCTGACCAGGAGGTAATTTGTGTGGGCAGCCAGGAGGAGCCAGGCGGCTGGCCAGAAAGCACGGTTGAGCCAGGACTGAGGGTGCCCGGGGCAGAGCCGCCCCCACGGGGCCTAGCTCGACCCGCCCTCCCCTCTGCGGGGCCCTGGGAATAGGAGTTCGCTGAGCTGGAGCTGGGGAGGCCACCTCCCGCGGCCGAGGGCGTTGGGGCCCTACCCAGGAGTCCAGCTCCACCCACGGCGGCCCAGCCCCGGGAGGGCAGAAAGCCGACCGTCTCCGATGTCACTGGGCACAGGTGAGCAGCAGGTGGGGGAGGGATCCTGTCACCTGGGGCCCTCGCGCCTGGCCAGCTGCCTCTGGCTGCCTCCTCCCTCCCCCGTCTGCTTGTCTCCCCGCCTCCCGAGTCTTTCTTTCTGTCTTCCCCAGACTCCCAGCCTTCCTCTATTTCTGTCTCAGTCTCCATCCCCCTCTATTTTCGTCCCTTCTCCGGCCGGCGTCCCTCCCCCACTTCCGCCTCCTCTCTGGGTCCCCTCCCTCCTCACCCCTGCACGCATTCCAGCGCCTCCCCCGCCTCGCCCTCCCCCAAGCCAGCTGCCGCCTGGTGCCCAAGACCGAGGGAGTGGGCTTTGGCCGGGGTCAGAGGTCCGGTTGCTGGAGCAGGCGGGACTGCGAGGGCACCCCAACCAAATCCTCTGGAATGTGGGCAGGGCCAGCCTCCCTGAAGGCCGTCACCCCTAGGGCGGCCAGAGACAGCAGCCTGCTACAGCACTGCGCTGCACACGCCCCAATCCCAGGACGCTACCCACACTCTGCCCTCTGGGAGAAGCAGCAAACCCCAGAAACAATCCCACACAGGGCCTCGGAGCCAGGAGACACCGCTCAGTAGTCCGCGGGTATTTAGCCAGTACTAGGCTGCCAGATACACAACGCTGCCCCCCCCCCCACATCCCCAACCTTACCTCCAAACCTACATTTTGGTGGGATTTGTTTTGTTTTGTGGTGCTGGGGTGTGAACCAGAGCTGTATCATAAGCAGGCTTTTATTTGTTTATTTTGAAACAGTCTCAAGTTGCTAAGTAACCCAGACTGAATACAAATTTCAGATCCTCCTGCCTCAGCCTCCCAGAGAGCTGGGATCGTAGCATTGCTCCCCATGCATGGCTCCAGCTACACACATTAGTTCCTTCCAGACCCCTGGGGCCCTTGCCATACATAATCATATGTATGATCCTCATACTGAAAGGTAAGTGAGCAGGGTGTGGTAGCCCGTATCTGTGAGCACAGCACTTGGGAGGAGGCTGAGGCAGGATAGTCAATGCAAGTTCAAGGCAACCTAGGCTACATAGTGAGTTCAAAACCAGCCTGAACTGTATATAGCAAAACCCTATCTCAAAAAAATAAAAAAGAAGCAGGGCGTGGTGGCTCAATGCCCGTAATCTCAGCACTCGGGAGGCTGAGGTGGGAGGATGGTTGTGAGTTCCAGACCAGCCTGGGCCGCAAGGTGAGCTCAAGGCCAGCCTGAACTGCATAGCGAGACCCTGTTTCAAAAAAAGACAAAAATAAATAAATTTTAAAAAGGAGAGGTGCTGGGGATGTGGTTCTGGTAGAGTTCTTGCCTTGCGAGCACAAGGCCCTGGGTTTAATCCCCAGCACCACACACAGGCACAAAACTAGGCATGGTGGCACATGCCTGTAATTCCAACACCAGCATTCTGGAGGCTGAGGCAAGAGGATCACTGTGAGTTCGAGGCCAGGCTGAACTACATAATGAGACCCCGTCTCAAAAAGAAAAAAAAGGAAAGGTAGCTTCCATTTAACACTGGGCCAGGTCCTCCCTTAAGCAACTCCAGTCCTGGAAGTCACACTGGACAGCCACA